ATTTCTACTACCTTTTGCTGCACATTTGTATGGCTTCTTTTTTGTGTGGCTCTGTTTGAGCATCACAAATATTATTTCATTTGCTTTTGCAATTTTTCGCGCTCTAGGGGCGCCATGTTATTCGAGTGCATATATTGACAATAGGGGAAAAGGCAGGAGGGGTAGAAAAGCAATCGCTATCCATGCTTCATGTCGTCTGGCATTCGCATTGATTTCGGGCTTGATGCACAAGTATCACTCTTTTCTCTGGTTCCGCCCCTCTATTCGATTCGCTGCGCCTTTCGCAATGCTAATGAAGTGCTTATGGGGAAAGGGATGTATGGGGGAGGGCCTGACAGTTCAATGACTCGTTTGCAAGTTGAGTGCATTCATGGGTGTCGTCTTAAGTGCATGTCATTCAACTGCAAAGATTTACAAGTATCTTTTAGCAATCAATATTTTTATGATATATATACATATGTATGTGGTAATCGTTTGACTTCAAGTTTATTTGAGAAAATTGTTATTACAGGTAGAAAGGACCAAAGGTAGAAGGACCAAAAAATGAATACACTCTAGAAGTTCGTAAAATGCAACAATCAGATGAAAATGAATCACAGTTCCAAAAATAATTGTAATTGCAAAATGTGTTATGTATCTCTTCTCATTTGAGGTTTTATTTATCCAAGTCATGACCTTTAAACTTTGCTCCTCTTATCCAGAAAGCGCCAGCCTCTCTATAACATATTTCATATACAATTTGAACAGAAGATAGCCTACAGTTATTTGTGTGCGAAAATCAAACACAGGGCCAAGACGGGCTAAAAGTAAGCAAGAAAAAAGCAGCGATATGGTTTATTAAATTTTTGAAGCCCGAAGCCAATCCCAACCACACGGTGGGAGTAGAGTTATAGAGGGGTGGTGGGGCTGTGTGCGTCGAAGGGCAATTGAATTTGGAAGCCATCGCATGACATCGTATCGATGGTGAAAATTGTGCTAATGATTACACTGGCGGAGTCTTTCGTGCAGTAGGAACAAAGGAAAGAAAGTCTTTCTAGCGCCACTCGAGACTGTCTGGAGAGGAGCGACGAGCTCGAAAGATACTTTCAAGTGACCAAGGTTGATTGGTGGTTCACTGTTGCCGACTCCCGCTGTGATTGAGTTCTCAGATGCTGATGCTGTGCCTCCCAATACATTTCCAGCCATGCATCTTCCTGCCGTTCACGGGTATCCACTGGCAGAAACCCTTCCATCAGATCCATTTCGATCTCATCATCCTCATCGTTGGGTAGCACAATGGGCTTCGCTCCAAACAATAGTGCCAGCTTATAGATACCCAATGCCACGAGGCTCATGAACCAGCCCAGAATCACACCAAAGGCCATGCATGAGGCGGCCCTAATGAAGTAACCAAAGGTCGTGTGGAGCTCGCAGTGGAAGTGGGCAATGCGTTTCGACAGATCTTCCACATAATCCATTTTTAGATTTTACGTGAATTAAATTTTGAATATTTTGTTATGTTTAAAAATTATAGGAAAACTTTTTCAAAATGTATGAAATTTAGGGATGAAAACAACGATAAAGACGACTCGGATCAACCATTGCCATGATAAAAAGTCTCGCATAAAAGTTTTGCTTAACGTTTGTGTAGTTTACATATTCCCTGAGTTTTCCTTCAGTTCCAAAAGTCCGTTCGAAGCATTGTTTTACATGCAAAAAAAAGTCCAAGCAAAATGGTTATCCTAAATCCCATTGAAATTGTCTGCGTCTACGTGGTGCAGCCCATCATTGACTTCCTGGGCTACCTCCTGGAGGTGCACTACGTGGCCTATCTGTCGGGTCTGGCAGTCATTGGGATCATCATCGGACTCCTCTTCAGCATTGTATCGGTGATCTGGTATAAGAGCACTCACGGAGATGAACCCAACCAGTTGCCAAAGGAAGAAACACCCAATTTGGAGGGTGTTTACATACAAGAAGGTCCCTTCAATAAGAAGGACGACTAGAAACAGATAAAGAAAACAAAATACACAAGCGTCGCGCTCTCTCTCTCTCAATCTTCCACAAATAATTCAAGGGGTGGCACAGACGTTGACCAAATAGAGCGCATCTAAAAGAGAAGAATAAAGAAAGACAATGTCATATGGAGTTTTAATAGAAGTATTTTAAAGTTATGATGGCTTTTTCCGAAAATCTGAATAGGATTTAGGATCTGTAACTACATATGTAAATAATCATAGAACCATCGACGTGGATTCAAAAAACCCGCCAAAAAAGTTTACCATAAACCATATCTATAGTTTCATACGCCAACCAATTTTATTTTCACTTTCCCAAAAGAACCTTCACGGAGTTCTTTCTGCACAGAAGTTAAATTCCCCCCAGAACCATTCCTTCACTGCGTTTCGACTGCATTGTGTGGCTCTTCACTTGACAAGAGACTCCTTTCCATTCAAGAACCTGTGTTACCCGCAGTTATTAGCCTACTTTCAACAATTTGGCAACGTTGCAACGTCTCCATCTCTCTCACACTCTTTCTCTCTTTTCTTTGGGTGGATACTCTCATTGTTTTTTAACGTCCCCCTACCCCAACCCGGACTCATTGTCTAGTTTTGAGGCAAAGCCGCAAGCTGCCGATTACCACCCAACCACTTGAGCAAATGCTTACAACATTTCAGAAACAGAAACTCAGTCGCGAGAAGCCCCACTACCTCATTCCCGTCCACTCGGTAGATGGAGTGTAACGGCATGTTGTGTTGAGCAAAATATTGGCAACATATGGCAGAAAGAGAGAGGACTTCCGGATACTTAAACATAGCAAACATACACAACTGCTTTTGGGTACATATTTCTTTATATTCACAACAATTTTTGTTTGTATTTTTCCAAATAAAACTCTTTTAAATGGCTTATAAATATTTGCAGTACCAGTACCAGGGTATCCCCCAGTCGCTTCCCTCAACTAATGTCTACCATCTCTTGTCTGATTTTGTATTCTTCTTTTCGGAGAGCAGGTTATAATTGCAAAAAAATGTATTTCAGTGCAATGGAAGGAAGAGGGATGAAGAGTGAACAGCAGAGTAACGGAGTAGCAATGGAAGACAGTAGCGGGAGCAAGAGAGAATCTGTAGTCTGAATGAATGGCAAATGAATGAGATACAAAAGTGTAGTGCAGAGGGTGAGGGCATTTAATCACGAATCGCAGCACCCACACCCCATACTCATTCGACACAAACTCCCCACCCCACACACCCCACATAGGCCGAAAGCGTCGCATAATTCATTTAGTGGGTGGCACTGAATGCAAAGCTTAAGCTGGGCGCTTAAGTGGGTTGTGCAGTGGTGCTGCATCATTCTGGTGGGGGAGGGCGTAGCCGGCACCCAAAGGCGCTTAGGGCGCAGCCATAACTGAAATCTAGTCAGAGGTCCCCACCACCCCCATAATCATAGGCGAGACACAAAACAGCTGTCAATGGGTCTTGGAACTGGAACTGGGACGAAGCCGTTTACCATTTTTCGGGTAAATGCAGCAGCCACCCCTTCAGGGACATACAACTTTACAAAATGCACTTTGACATGACCCAAGCACCACCCTACAGTGGCTGTGGGTAAGCGGTAAGGGGTGAGGGGTGTGCATGTGGTACGTGCCTTAATTGATACAAAAATAGCGCGAAGAAAGTCCTGTATCGAAAAGGGGGAATAAAATATGAGTGCGCACACAGGGAATCAATCAAAAGAAGAGCCCATCAAAAACGTGTGTTAATATTCCAGAAAATATCCCCCACCTCTCTATTCCTATTCCCCTCCAAAAACCTTCCCTCTATCACGGAAATCAATTTATTCCTCACAAGTCTTAACCCTTTCTGTGTATTTCTGGGTATATACCTTTGGCTATATCCCCATAGAAATATCAAAACTCTCCACTTGTCAGTCGCTTCCCCATGTTTGTTTGTGTGTGTGCGTGGCGCAGATTCATTAAGATTTTTCATTTCATTGAAACATGAGGATTTTGAGTAGAATTTTTCCATCATATACGATAGAGTACGAGTGCCACAGCCGCAACCGTAGCCACCGCCACCGACACCGCCTCTGCTGCTGCCATAGAAATATATTTACAATTTTCCCCGTGACGTGCGTAATGATGCTGCAGCGGCTTAGAGATGAATGGGGGTCTGGCTCTCTTGGCTCTCCTGTCTCCTGGTTGAGTGGATGCCACTGCGAATGGGGATTTTCGAGTTGGATTCCATGCGAATGTTGCTGCTGCTGTTGTTGTTGGTTGGCTTTTTGCGTTGTCTAGGCAACGGTTCAGCCCACATTTTTCCATATGCAATCTAGGCGATGGTTGCATTTTCCGGGCACTCATTTTCCACCAAACCCTCTGGCATGGATTGCGTCTCTCGCGCATCCTCCTCTGTCTATTCGTCTGTCTGTCTGCCCGTCTTTCAGTCTCAACAGAGGAGAACCTTGCGGTGCATTGAACTTTCCATCTCGTTTTGAGCAGCACTCGGGTGTTGCCTGCAGTTCATTTGCTCTTTCGTTTTTCCTGGCTTCGAATTATTTAAGTCGGAATTTCACATTTCATATTTTTCATAACTTTTTGTGCGCTTTTTAATTAATGAAATTATTATATAATTCTTGTACAAAAAGCATTTTCTGCGAATGTACCCACTTGACAATAAATATAAAGTGTAATCCAAAGTCTTTATTTTTTAAAAGCTTTCTTGAAGTAATCCTCAAAAAGTATCCTCAAAATGAAAAAAATCAATTAAAAAATTTGGAATCTACTAACTGCTTCTCTTTTTGAGGGAAACAACAAAGTATTTCAAATATACTTTCATTTCTCTAGCATTCCCACGAAATATTTCCATTATTCAACCAGTTTTTCTTTCCAAATCTTTCCATTCAAAGCTAGACAGCACACCACGCAGAGCTAATGCCTTAATTTATGAAAATGACTCCACTAATGACACATCGTTCCCTATAAATACGCTAAAACACGTTCCCAAAACCCGCTGGGAAAACTCCGTCACTCCCTACAGTCATCCACAATGTGGCCATGTGGAACAAAGTGGAATATCAGCGACAGCGGAAAAGTGCTACACATGTGGGCTATCGAATTTTCCTCAAGTACACCGCTTGGTTTCTCTATGGCATTGCCTGTGCCTGCAAGTTTTGTAAAGCAAAGTGGAATCCAGTTGAAAGACGCATCGAGGAGCGACACTACAATCGAATAGTATACAAACTGATAATAATCCTCAAGATAGTTCTCATTGCGAGCCAATATCTGATGTATTTTGTGATGTTTTTGGCCGTCTACATTCACTATTCGCTCGTGGAGAAGAGCAGTGCCCAGAATTTCTTGATGGGCACCTTTGCCCAGGGCATCAACTATAATGTCTTTCGGCGATTGGTCATCTTTTTGCACTTAAAACAGGATCGCATATTCGTGAGGCAGACGGTGAATGAGATCCTGCAGATTTCGGAGGACATTGAACAAAAGTTTGGCATCATCTATCACTGCGATGCGAATCTTTTGGGTGTGTATTTCCTTAAGCTGTTCCTCCTCTACGTGTACATGGTCTCATACTGGTACAAGTCGTACTTTTTGCTCATCAATCTGCTCTATTGGCTGCTCCTAGAGTACTGCTTCATGGGTTGGTTCCTCTACCAGCAGCTGCTCCTCAATTGGTATCGAAATATCACCATATTCCTACAGCGTTTTATCGATGATCATAAGGATAGAGAGAGGATACTGGGTCGCTTTCATCGCCGTCTGTTCTGGCTGTTTGAGCTCCATTTGCGTATCAATAATCTCCATAGGAGCATCAACGACAACCTCTCGTGGCTGTCCACCTCCATCTATCTGATGATATTTGTCTGCAGCAATAGAATGGAGCTGCTCATCGAGTGCATCGTGTTCGGAGAGGATGAATTGGAGAATAAGCTCTACATCATAGCCGACGGCGTTCTGGGTCCCGTTCTCATACCCCTTCTATATGTCCTGCTAATAGGACTATGCACAGATCGCTTGCGCGATGCAGAGCTTGTGCTGCAGCAGCAAATTGTCATCATTCATGGGCTGTACATCAGGAAAGACCCCTCCCGCACTCTAGCCATAAAGGTCCTCTACAATGAGGTGAGTTCTGTTTGGGTTTTTTTAGGCTTAAAATCTCTCTAATTGATTGGATTTCCATAGCACACCTCTTTGATCATTCATCAGAAGTTGGAACCGCTGCAGAATTTAATTATTTTGGGCACAACGTGTGACCGGGAGTTTGCTTTTGATTATCTCTTAACGTCGATCCTTACGGCGGTCTCATTTGTGCAATATTCCCTATCGTGCGGTGATTATCCCATTAACGAGTGTGCCACACATAAGTAGGACAAGTGTAGCGGGCAGAATATAATAAAAAATGATCGATAAACAATAAAAATCTGTGAGAATTAAGTTTTGAGATTGTTTCATTTTTTTCGAATCATCTTTTATAAAAATGTTTTCCTCAAGGAACCAAACTCACGTTTTATGAAAGATTTGGGAAATTAGAAATGGTCTGATGATAATTTTGTTTTTTTTTCTATGGCTATTGATTGGGTGTTGATTTTTAAAGCCGTTTTCAGAGGTAGCGGTTTTTTTTCACATAAATGTTGTATCTTTAATCTGGTTGTAAAAAGCTTTGTTTATCTGAAAAGCTGGTTAATGCAGCTAAACTGTGGTTTTGGCTTACCGTCTGGGAATTTTTTACGAAATTGTTAATTTAAAAACTCTGAAAAAGACGAAAAAAAAAATTCTATATTGTGTCTTCTATTTCTTGAATGTACGGGTGTATTAATTGGGCGTCGTTAAAGTGTTGCTCATCAGTAGGGTTCCTGTTGATCGAATTAAAATCGATCACTATTAGGTATATTTTGCTATATTTCTTTATCGCGTTTTTGCAGAAGGCTTTTGGGGAATGCCTATCGAACTTTTATCCCTAACTTTTAGTCAAAAAATATCCGGTCAAATCGATAATGCTACGATTGCTACGAAAATAGTATATCGATGAGGTAAACAATGAATTTTCCAATTTTTATTAATTTTAAAGCACTTCGGCCTAGTTTTCCCCCATTTTGATTCCATCCGATAAATATTACATTCATCTGGTCCATTCTGTGACCTTTTCCTCTCGCAACATTTCAAATTCTTTAACCAAATTCATGCAAGCATCTGCCAGACCCACACTTTCGCACGCCATTTATCAATAACTTATCATGCCGCCCTCATACCCTGTAGTGACACCCACTACATGGACTCTGCCGCCAATCTGCTGCCAATCTAGAGGGGAGACTAGCAACAGTTCAAACAATCAACAGTCACGTACAATTTTGACGGTTTACTTTTTGGCTAAAAAAAAACAGAAATGGAAGGCCGGAGAGTACGTGAAATATTCAATTTTTGGATACATTTTGCCGGTACATTTAAATTTATTTTTACAACCCCACAAAGGACGTGAACACGGACCCCTCGTGCAAGCGGACCGCTCCATAGACGATAAAATAATAATCGATTTAGAGTTTGGTTAGAGTTTCGGGCGGCCCAGACTCACAACTCATCTGCGGGAGCATTCCTCCTTCCTCCACCACCAGACGTGAAAAAATGGAGCAGCTCCTAGGGGGGTGCACTTCCTGCGGAGAATCGATTTCTCTTGCTCTCCTTAGACGCTGGAAAATTTATGCGAGTTCGAATTTGATATGGTTTAAACTGTTTGCCTAGGCAACGAGACTACAACGACGACTACGACGGAGACGACGTCAGCCATGCAAATGTTCTGATAAGAGCAGCAGCCCCCAGAAAGGGTAGGGCGTGGCTTTATGCCTATGGCTTTGTCGCCTTTTTAGTGGAAAATTAATTTGCTATAATTCATCAATGGTGCAAAAGGAAGCGGAGAGAGAAAAGGCAATGCACAGGCAGAGTTGGCTGAATGGCAGCCTGGCAGAAAGGATTATTTTGCATAAAAAATTGTGGCACTTGTCGAATTTTTTGCATAGTCTGCGTTTGGTTTGCTGCCTGAAAATACTCCTCCAAATGTGCTGCCTGTGTGGGTGTCTATGTGTGTGTGTGCCTGTGTGGGTGTATAAGTGTGTAAGTGACGCACTTTGTGTAATTTATGGCTGCACATTTATTTTATTGAGTTTAATGTGGGCACAGTTGTTGCTGCCGCTGCGGCTGCTGCTGCTGCCGTCGCCATTTCAGAAGGTGCAAAGGTCCCACACACAGACAGTGGGAGGAGTGGATGGAGGAGAGGGAGACATGACTGTGGGTTTGAAGGGCAGCTTGAGGACGGGGGCAAATGGGTAACCATTTGAAGGCTTTGTTCTGCCTGAGAAAATGTATTACATCAGCGTGCAGCAAGTCAGGGGTAGTGGCATGCGGCTTTCCTTCGGTTCCTGGCACTTCCATAAATTGGAACCAACGCGGAGCTGTTTGGAACGGGAAAGGATTCCAGTAAAGCCCTTTTCGGGATAGCTATAGTGCTGGAAAACATTGATGGAGGGACGGTTTGGTTTCTTCATGTGAAGATTGCAATAATGACTACGATAGTCAATTTTTCTAAGAGCTTCTTCGACTATTTTCCAGTTTTCAAAAGACTTAAAAGATGATAGGAAAATTAAATTCTAAGAAAATAACATTTCGTTAAAATAATTCTGGCCTTGGAAGTCTTTTTCGACCAGATTTACTGGAGCAAGTACTCCTAGGAACAGAATCATATAAAACGTTCACAGTTCCCCGCATATTCGCACAAGCCACCATTTCCATTAATGAAAAAGTGCATGACATTAAAGTTAATAATGTCAATTAAATAAAATATGTTCTTCAAGCAGAGCAAACAAATTAAATCGTTAGCCCCCAGTAAATTCGCAGCAGCCTCATGCCCCGAAAGAAAATAGAATCCGCTCACTCCCGGGCGCTATACTGCCTCCTGCTACTCCCCTATTCGTTGCTCCTATTCGCATTTGCCGCCAACTAATTAAGCATTCAAAAACGTTTTGGCAAAAAGTTGAAATTAGGTTGATCTGGGGGTTCACAGTAGTGTGGTTCGAGATCTGTCGTCCGAGGGGGAGCGGAGCAAAAATTCCAAAATAAAGATGATGCAGCAGTGCGCTCATAAATTATGGCAAATTATTAAGCAAAAGTCACCAAAAACAGGAAAACTTTTGCCTCCGCACGCACTGGCTACGCGACCGCCCGAACAGCCCCTCACCATCATGCAGCTACGTCGAAAAATGAAAGTCCTACTTAAACATTTTAGAAGTTTGGGGAGTAGAGAATGATTTATTTTTATTATTATTGGCGGTGAATTTTAAATCAAAAAGCTCTCTCTCTCTCTCTCTTTCTGTTTCTGCCGACTGACGGACCCCTACCACCTAAAAGAATGCTATACATTTTGTAAGCTGCTTTCGATGTCGAAAATACGGCGGCAGCTGCCTTTGTCATTATTAATAACTGTTAATTATTCACCATTATATAACTACTCTGTGCCTCAGCTACTCGTTCATTCCCTCTCGGCCGTATGACGAGGAAAAGCGACATTTCGAGCACGTTTCGAAACTTCTTTGCTTTTGGCGTCTCGGTGCCTCTCTGTTGCTCCCACCCACTAATCCATCTTCTTGCAACTTCTCTCTCTCTCTCTCTTTTTCTCTCTCTACCCGTCTGTCTTTTTCTCCCCCTCTCACTCTGTCATTGCCGCTCGAGTAATTCTCTTCTTTCATATTGTTTGGGCACCATATTTTATGTGCTCCTTAGTTAACGCCAATGTCGATGTCGATGTCTTGTCTCTCTCTCTCTCTCTCTCTCTCTCTCTCTGTCTGTTTATCTTTCTCTACAACTATCTCCCTCTTGCTCTTGGTCATATTTACATATTATTAAAAAGTTTTCCGAAGCTCAGACAACATTAAAAAAACAGTGAAAAGGCGAGGACTAAAGTATGTAAGTCAAAATTGTATCGACATGGCGATATCCTACTTATGACTAGTGCTGCATTTTATGACACTAACTAAAACTGCTAAGAGTACTACTTACCGTTCTTGGAATTTTTAACGATGTTTATGATTTTTTGAATATATTTAGATTAGATTCTCCTCATTCACTTTTCCTTTCTCTGTAGCATATCCTCCATACTCTCTCAATACCCCTTGAAAAAAGAGCGATGAAAAGTAAACTTTTCTATTTTGCCTCCTCTAGACTCTGAAGTTATTGAAAATTCATGAATAATTGACATTTATTGCAGTTGGCACAAATGATGGTCGATAATGGAGGAATGGAAGGCGGGATGGGTTGGAGGCTGCTCTTTCTCTGGAGGTTCTCTCTCTCTCTCTCTCTGCTGTGTGTGTGTGTCTGCATTTTATAGACATAAATATTAAAGTAGCTTACGTACTTAATTGTAAATTATGCATTCAATTAGTTATGCCAGGCTGCCCCCAAATGCCATTTACAGCGAGGGTCAGAGAGAGAAAGCGTGCTCAGCTCCTTACTATCTTCAATTAAATTTTGAATATTGTTATGGCTCCTCCTTCGAGTCCTTGCTATGGCTAATAATGGTAGTGTCAGCTGCAGGATACTTTACTTCTCTGTTCACTCAGTCGTGCAAAATTTGCTCCAGTTTATCCGTTTATCATATTTCTGCAGCCAGCAGCATCCATCAGGTGAGTCCATCAGGTGTAAGATTACCTCCCATAATCGTAAACTTTTCCAATGATTGTGTAATGAGGCCTCTGTAGCAGTTTCTGATGCAGTTTCTGTGTCAATTCTGTTGAATTTTCTGCTTAAATTTGCTTTTCTGCCTAAAGACACTTTCTGCTTAAATTAACTCATAAATGGCGCTTAATTTCTGAATCAACTTCTTTGAAAGTGGGTAAGCGAAGAATAGTTAATTCCGTAATTGTATTATGACTATAATTGAAACGAAGGGCATGGCAACTTCAAAGTAAGTTTCCTGGAAACTTGTTGGTTCATGCAAATGATGGTGGTAGTGGTTAGAGGGTTTAACATTGTATTTTCGATTTTACCTGGTGGTAAAACTTTACCAACTTTACCATTTATGTTGTTACCAGCATTCATTTCATTTCATATCAACGTCCAGACATATGCTTAAGCGCGGCAGCAGCCGTTCTTTTGTCTTTTCATTCCGTCTTTTTCGTTCAGCAGCCCCAAAGCTGCTCTAACGGTCTGCATCCAGCGCTCGTGCTCGGCTCAGATGCCGGACCGAGCGTTCTATAAAGCTTTCTCGTTGAATTTTTATATATGGCACGGGCAATTCGGCCCGTCGGGCCTGCTGCGGTCTGGAACTGATATGCATGGACCGCAGTCTCCGTACCCTCTACCAACCCATTTATACGCGTAATATC